ATAAAACTGGCATGATTTTCTGACTAATACACAATTTAATCTTCTACAAATGAAAATAAAAATTGATTCAAGGGTGTAATATTTTATATTTTAAATATACTGGGAGATAATATTCTATAATTTTTAAATTGTGTTCTATGATGGGAAAGGAGCTAAAATAGTAATGAGAAAGAGGCAGAAATTAAATTTTGGTTGAATTTTAAGCAGGTTAAATTTGAGTTACCTATTTAGAATCCCAAACAGTAAATGAAAACTGTTGGTCATATATGCATATCTAATGAGATGTTCCAAGGGCTTATGTAATTTAAAGTTAGTTCAATCCTGTGAAAACATAGCTGGCATTTAAAGTAGTGAAAACTGATCACTAAGGAGAGAATGCAGTCAGAGTTGGTGGTTAGACTACCAGACCACTCTACTGTTCAGAGAGTAGAGAGATACAGAACACCAGAACAAAGAGAATGAGAACTAAATGTCACTGTGACGGGAGTATCATTTATCAGGAGGTTGTGATGTCCTGAAAACCGAGTAAAAAGTTTCTTTCATGTAAAGAGTAAGTTACTGAATCAAACACAGCTATGTTACTGTAATCAAACACAGCTACATCAAGTTGGATGAGAACTGAGAGCTACCATTGCATTTGCAATGTGAAACCTTTAGATAACCCTGACAAGAATATTTACTCATGTACAGAAATAAAAGCCTGGCTCAACTGGGTTTTACAAAGAAGAAAAGAAAAAGTGAAACCAGCTTCAACTCTTTTCAGAATACTGCACTAAAGGGAGCTTCAGGAGAACAGGGCCATATACTCACAGTATAATTTTTCTGTACAAACAGGAATTAATGAGTTCTATACTAGGCATAATATTCTATAATATTTAAATATATACCTGGAACAATATTGTGTAATTCTTTTTACTATAGATTCGTTCCATCTTTTCTTACAGAAAAAATGTTTTCTTTCTAAAACAAACTGTTTTGTATAGGTTTTATATTAAGTACATCATTCAAAGAAAATAAACTCTTGTTTCCAACCGGCACTAAGCTTTATCACTACAGGATAACTAAGTGTGTGTATTTTGGAAAAAAAATATATTTAACCTTTCTATGCTTGATTTTCTCATTTTACATAAAAACAAAGTGCTTGGACAAAACTATTATGTAAATATCAATTATTTGCATTTGTACAATCTTTCAAAAATTCCAAATAAAGCAAACACACAGATTTTTCTTTTCTTCTGTTACTTTTTATTTCCTCTGAGTCTCTTCAATGCTTACTTTGAAAAAAAAGATGCCTATTCAAAACTTTTTAAAAATCAATTACATAACTGAGATTTCAATTTCTAAGTCAACTCTGCAATTTTAAAGGAGTTTCATTTGGAAATAAGCTTGACATTCACTCCTCATAGCATTGGTTGCATTGCTGGTTAGCACAGGGACGTAATCCCCGCAAAAATACTATTTGATCCCAGGGAGGGAAAAAAAGATAATGGATTGCCCCTCCACAGGCAAGCATAAAGCAGACCTCTGAGACGCTGCCATTCAAATGAATAGAAACTGGCAGCAGTTCTAACACCTATCCAGTTTCAATTTTGTAACATCTGCAGGCATCATCTTGGGAATGGTAAACATTTTAATGGTCAGGCCCTGTCCACTTATGCATTACTACTTCCAGTATTATCCCCTATTTCTGTCTGGAAAGAGAAACTAAAAGGTGACAGATTGCTGTGAATGAAATGAATAGAGATGCCATTTGCATTCATTTCTGCAGCCGCAAACTCGCTACTTCCCCATTCCTTTGTTGTCCTTCAGCGATTTTCCTTACTGCTTTGGAAATTTCAAGAGCCAGACACTACATTTTAATCACCCAGCTAGAACTTCAAGCTCCGGCGTGTGAATTAAGACCATCAAACAACTTTATAATTACAGTCCCTCTCCTCCATTTAATTACTAATTCACTCTGATTGGATTAAGATAGAAGCTACATCTTATCTGAAAATTAGGCTTAAATGTTTCAGGTGTTTAGTGCACATTCAGTAAAATTCAGAAAATGAATACTACATCCTGTGCTTTATATAAATTTAAGATTTTCTTAAGTCGAAGCAATACACTTTGTTTGGATACCCTATATTAAAAATAAGTTATCTTAGTGATTTAGTATACACATCGAGGAGAAGTGTCGTATGTGGGAGATAATTAACTGTGTGTTCCTGAACATATGAATATGATAATGTAGCCTAGATGCATACGCACTTAATCTGCCTTTGTAAAATGGCTAAGAAACAGCGGGCTTTTTTTTTTTTTTTTCAGTATTTCTGAACGCAGCTTCAGACACCCATCATATTTTACTTTCGGTTGAATATTATTAGGTACCTTGCAGAAGTATCTCCTCTCAAGTGTTTGATCAACTAAAGGTAAACTCTTACTACAAAGCAAACACAAAGATGACTCTGCTTATAACATCAGATTAATAAATTAGAGTTCAGTTTGTTCTCTGAAGTATTCTTTTGTAATTTTTTAAAAGAATCTCAATTACATTTAAGTATAACAAGTAATCACTTAAAGCAAAATAAACATGTGGTTAAGCATTATTTGAGAGTATATTTACAATCAATATGAAGACGATATGTAACTTTTTATAGCAGTAGTGGAGAGTGAACACAGGCCTGGCACATTTTAGACAAGCAATCTACCACTGAGCAATTCTTGGGCCAAAATAAGATGCTTAATAGGCTGTAAATTTCTTGAGAAAATATAGATTTCATCTTAAATACAATTTTTTTTTAGAAAGCATGATTAAAAAACTAATCACAGCTAACATGTTGGATTACCTCAGAAATCTATGTATTATAGATCTTAACACCAAAATAAATAATAATTTTTTGAAATCATTTTATATAATAAATTAAAATCATGACTAACATTCCTATTTATTTGTTAAGCTTTGATGAATTTTAAAAATTGAAGTGTTTCTGGTATGAATGTAGAGGAATGTGGTCTGGGGATATAGCTCAGTGGTAAAACATTTGCCTGGTGTTTCTGAGGCCCTGAGTTCAAGCCTCACTACACTAAACCCAAGGAAAAAAAGGACAAACCTTTCACTAATTACCATTGAAAGTCAGGAAGTGTTTACCTAGTATGAATTCAGACCTCAGGAAGAAAGAGAAAAACAAATAATGGAGGCAGAACATAAATCTTTATCAGAATTTTTATTTTAATCTTTACTGTTAATGACAACTCAAATTTGATTCTGCTGAAATGTTTAATCTTAAATAATTAGCACAAGTCAGGCCAGAATTTTGTCATTTTCCCTGTGATAAATTTGCTCAAAATTTTCTTCCAAACATCACAAATTCTGATTATTAGAATCATTTGCTTTGAATTTATCTGAAATTGTCATGAACATTGTATTTGAATAGAAAAAAAATTGAAATATTCGCACTTGAAAGGGATCTTCTCCACCTTTCTGTAAAAACAAACTGAAGAGCTGAAAAAACAAAAACAGATACTTGTCAAGCTCCAAACTCATAAGCAATTCTTTGTTCTTGATACAGTACAACAATTAATAATTAGTACCTTATTGTGGCAGCTATTAGAGTCATTTAAATATTTCGATTCATTGGTAGAATTATAAAAGTGTCATATATTCAGCATGTGTATGGATAAATATGAAACAAGGCCAATAAATCCTGTTTCAAATAAATATACCCCATGACCTCTATCATAGCTAAAAATAAAAAACCCTTCAGTTCACATCTGATTTTTAAATTATAGACAAAATGTATAATTTCATTCAATCTGTGCTTGAACTTAGAATATGTCAACTTTCAGTACCCAAACTTTTTCATTTTAAAGAATTAAAAATATTTCACTCCTCGAAAGTTATGTTTAAATTGCTTTCAAGTATAATTCAGGCCTTACATACTACACTTTATTTAAAATATTTAAGTTTTCTTATAAATGTCCTAAAACATTGTGCTTTATTGCTACATTATTTCAATAATTTAATTTGCTAGATATACAGTGATCCTTGGAAATTCGTCTGCATGCATTCTAATGTGAACATTCACCTAGGTGCGGACTACAATTTAGGCCCATTGACTTCTATTGCAAGGTTGGAAAAATATATCATAGTTTACAGTGTGATAGATTATGTTCCTCACTACCTTTCCCTCTGCATCTCCTGGCAGCTCCATTAACTAAAGGATCCCTGTGGAGAGCAACAGAGATTCTTAAAAATTACAAATTTTACACAAAACACATTTTTGCATTGACGAATCATGTGTATAAATTTGCTAGGATTGCCAAATTGCCCGGCTATGTGGCTTGGACAAACCGCAGTTTTGTCTCGTTTCGTTTTGTTTCCCACAGTTCTGGAGGCTAGAAATCTAAGAATGAGCTGTTTCCGGGTTTGCTTGCTTCTGAAGCCCCTTAGGGTCATCTAGAAGGGTCACACAGTTGGCCCTGGGTCTGTGTTATCTGTATCCTAATTTCCTTTTTTGATCATTATAGTAAACCATATTAGGACCTGCTCATTTGACTTCATTTTAAAATATTTACTTCTTTGTAGAACTTTACTTCTTTGTAGAATTTTTTTTTTTTTTCTTTTTAACATCAACTGGTTCTTATCTGGCCACTCTGCAATTGAATACCCACCCCAGCAAATAGAACAGTTAGAACAAGAAAACAAAATAGAGGCTGGGTGTGGTGATGCACACCAATAATCCCAGCATTGGCGGAGGCCAAGGCAGAAGGATAGCCTTGAGTTCAAGGCCAACCTGAACTACATGGTAGAGCCAGTCTCACACACGCTCCCCTGCCTGCCATTCCAAGTCGCATCTCACCAAAAGGGCAGCTTTGGATTTAGCACGCAATTTAGGGAGGCACAATGTACGGGCACATTGGCAGGGCACTCATTTATGCAGCAGAGCCTGCTGTATCCGTTTTAGCCTTGTAAAAATATAAATCTTCCTCCAGCAGCTGGTTACCAGCTCAAGCCGCAGCCCTTTTGCTTGTGGTTGAAAGGGTCACCCGCAAAGCGCAGGCGGCCCCAGTTATTCGTGAGCACTTTGATTCTCTGGAGCTGTAGCTTGACTCTGGGCACCATGGACCAAAGGGAGTGCTTCTCAGTAGAACTTAACTCTAAATGCAGTCATATTCTGATGTACTAGGTGTTAAGAATTCAATGCCTAAATTTGGAGGGGCAAAGCACATAGAAAGTACAATTAAGTAGATAAAGAAAAATAGAGAATCAAATATATGAACAGATTAACAGATCAGGGAATGAAATACTTTTAGGAAAAGCAAGATATTTAGATTTAAGACAGGAGGTGAGCCAGGCGCGGTACCACATGGCTGGAGTCAGAGCTAGTTGGCAGGAACACTGCAATTCCGAGCCCCTCCTAGATGGCTCAGGGAGATCCTGTCTAAATAAACACATAAATAGATGTGGGGCAGGGATGGAGTTCAGTGGCACAGTCTTTGCCTACATTATATGAGGCCTTAGATTCAATTCCAAGTACTAAAAATGACAAAACAAAATTAAAGGAAAGCAAGAGTTCAGTTTTTCTTAAAATAACTTCATAAGTGAAGAAGTAGAAGACCTGAATTAGTTTGGAGAATAATATATAAATATTAGCTGGACAGGAGAGTGAAAGAGAAGAAATGTTGAGATGGACATCACTGAATGATTTCTATAGCACAGTGAACCTTGGGAATATTTTCAGGAGGGCTTACTTTATTGTACACCAGTAATTTTTGTCACAATACAAACTTCTGTAGAATTCAGAATGGGAAAGTAATATGTTTGATTCAGAAATGTTTTTATATAAACTTATATTGGTACTGCACATAGGTGGAAATCATTTCAGTGCAAGAGAATGCAAGGGACTCAAACAGTGTACAAGTTTCACTTAAAACATTAGCTTCAGGGCCAGGGATTTAGCTCAGTGGTACCACATCTGCCTTGCAACTGCCAGGTCCTGAGTTTGATCTCCAGTACTAAAAAAAAAAAAAAAAGCTTCATAGAATTATAAATTAGAAAAAATGGAAAGATATTAATTTTATGCAAACAAGCAACCCTCATCTACCATATACGTAAGCTGGAGCGGCTCCACTGAAATTACAACATGTACTATTTGTTTATGTAAAGTCATTGAGTATGATTTTCATTTGATTTGTTTTTAAGTACACTTTGCAAAGTTTTTAAAATATAATTCATCAGTGAGCTGAATTTACCTTTCTTCTGTTTTGTATAGATCCTAAATTTTGCTATGTCTATCACTAGCTATAAGAGATAAATTCCAATACTAAATGAATCATTACATAATCAATTTAATAACTAAAAATATGGTATGGCAAAAGGGACTAACTTTGCTCTTAAATTTAAGGTTGAAATTCGTTTACCACCAGGCACAACTGGTCTCTGAGATGCTTTCTAATCATATGGTTTTTCATTCAGTCAATACAGATATGCCTCCTATTTCATTTGATTTGATTGGAATATTTTGGGCACTGCTGTTTTCCATAGTTGCCTTTCCTGCAATATCTGGCTTTGTTAAATCAGTACCATTTAAAGTCAAACTGCAAGTTACTGCTAAATCCCTAAAATAAACTTCATGAATTCTGATTCTACTTACTGTTTCTATTCCACCCTTCAGAATCTGACAAACCACCCATTTTGCCTGAATATGAACTTCAGAGCACAAACTCCCAAACTGCCCTCCTCTGCAGTCCTGTCTTTCTGGCAGGCATCAGTAGAGAACACCAGTCACTGTCAAAGGTCTCTACCTCTGCCTTCGCTGACCCAGACCATGATAGGTAGGGCATTCTCTCTGGGGCAGCAAGCTTGGGATGATCTAAGAGCTTGGTGGAAACTTTAGTCCCACTCAAAACCCTCCAAACCAAAAAGTGTTTAAAACAATAACCCTGGGTAATGGGAGGCACAATCAGGCGAGAAGCTCTTACCCAAAGGAACAGAATGTTTCTCTGTAACTCTGCCCCTGTTAAAGGGACCTGCCCTACCTACTTCTGCTGTTACCCTTGGCTGCCTAACTGGTTTTGGTACATCTTTAACCACACACCAAACATGTCATACCTGTTCCAAATTCTTAGTTCTCAAGTATTCAACAATATTATTTTTATTCTCTCCTCATTTCAAATTTGTTTAATTCCTTGAATAATTTTTTTCTTACAAAGATTTCCAAGCATCTTCAAATCTCAACTATTTTTCTATCCCTGCTGTCTAACCTGTCAACATCTATGGTGAACTGGAAATATATATGCACACATGAAAAAGTTTGCAGCAAAAGTATCTTTTGCTCAGAAGAAAACACTGAGAGGTAAATGCAAATAAGAGAGGAATGACCAGTTATACATTAGCAGTGTGCTCATGTCTTGAAGTTGACAAATCTATTCCACTTTTAGCTTTTCTCAGAGAAATGCTGCTCAAAAACTACAAAATGATGAATGTTGACCTCTTAAAATCACTAAGATATAAAGCGTAACAAAAATTATTAATACAAAGATGTGGTTAAGTAGGTCTCTGTCAATGAATCACAGTGATGGAAAGATTCTGTGCTTTACTTGCAGGAGTGAAAAATGAGGTTGTTAGTGACATCAAATGCAAATATCATCAGATCCTGGAGCACCTCTCTTTTATATAAAAAAGCACATTTTCAAGTAGCAGATATCTATGTATTTCAATCTTAAAATATAACTCTATAGTAAGTCAATTTTTCTCATGAAAATTGTGTGAGATTTGAAATCCTAAGAACAGCATTTAAAATATACATGGCTATACCACAAACAAGTAAAAAATATTAAAATTAATTTTAAAAATAAGAGTATGTTAATATTATAATTTTAATTAAGTATGTTCTTTATAAGTACTTGATTACTTTGTAACAAGTCAACAGAACTGAAATATTACCATTTCAAAGCATATTTTCGTTTTGGTAAAGTGTTGACTTCTTTATATGAACAATATTTGTAACTGAAAACTAAATTTATGCACTTAATGATATAAATATCTATATATTCTTCACATAACAAATACCTTGAGAACAAACTAAGGTAAGGGAGTGTGCACTGAAGTTCATCCCCAGTGAAGTACAAAGAAAGAGCATTTTCAAATGCTGTCTTACGGAATAAGGGATATAGTAGCAAGTTAAAACCAGAAAGCCAGAGTATGAAGTTTACTTGACTTTTAGTCTCTAAATATATTGAGTCAAAAAGTTTCCCAAGAAGGAAAATTCTATAACTTTGTGAAAAATTAGTTTTCAAAGAAAAGATGAAGAAGTTTTAAATAATTGAGTCAGGAAGACTTGTCAAAAGACAGCTGTGATAATAAATAAGGAAAATCTTTTCATATTCCTGTTTATAGAATTTTCTAGCTAGTGACTAAATTCCTCTCTGAAGTCACATTATCCCTTGCCCATGGTTTTGGTTTAAATAAGTTCATTACCTCATTTCATTGTTCCTATTTTATCATAATCCATTTTGACTGGGAGCTTGGTACCCAAGTCCTTCCTGACAGCCAGAATCAAACCAACATGGTAATTTCTTTTTAAGTTTAATTTTCTTAAAAGATTTAAATGTTCTGATGTAATTCCTAATCAGCCACCTCATTACAGTGAACATTATGCTTTCCCAATTGTCTGATAATTGCATTTTAATTCAGAATAATTTTAACTCTTGAAAAACTCAAATTAATTTTGAAGAAAAGTAAAAATGAAGTAAAGTCATTCATTAATCTATATAGGAAAAAAACAAAAGAAAGAACAAGTAAAATAGTGTACATCATGATGAACTGAAATATGTCAGATATATAAAATGGTTACAGGTATACTTATTAACTTTATTGAAATTAAGAATTAGTAAGAGAGAAAAGTGTGAAATAAATTATTTAAGTTAATTTTATAACTGATACAATCAAGAGGAAACATAAAAGAAACAATGCTGAAAATAAATCAAAGAAAATCTCTGAGGAAACTGTGTTATGGTATTTATAGAATAAGAAGAAATTTAAGTGAAGTCTTTTTCTGTCTTTCATGTTTAGGCTTCAATCTAAAATGTTTCCCAAATGTCTAATTTTTTAGAGGTTAGGCTTCGGCAAGAAGAATGGTCCAGGAGAACTGTACTTTCATCACTGGATCTGTGGATAAGCTCCTAATCTGATGGCATGATTGGCCATAGTGAAAATTTAGGAGCTAGAACCTAAGCGAAGGGAGTCATCACAGGGCATGATCTTGGAGACTTGGTCTTGTTCTTGGCTCCTTTGCCTTCTTTATGTCTCCTGTTGGTCCTGACAAAGGTCCACCCTCCGCTCCACCACAAACTCTATGAAATGATTTCTCTGTAGGCTCAGAAGAAACAGGGCCAGGTGGCAATACACTGAAACTTCTGAAACTGTGAGCAAAATAAACCTTTCCCCAATGAGGTTATTTTCTCAAAAAATCTGACTAACATAGCTTCTCTATCATTCTAAAAAAATAATACAGGCTTACATAGGAGTTTAGGAAAAGAGATTGCTTCCTTTTCTCTGATACTATCATCATGGGAATTTTCAGTTTTAATTTTCTCTAGTTTCACAAGTTAGGGCTTGATGATTGCAGAAGAAATTATATTATAGAATGTTTTTCTAGCTCCTTAAACTAAAAACCAATACTTCTTTAAAACACTATCTATAAAATCATTTATAGTTCATCTTTGATGCCTTGTTGGTCCCACTTAAACTGACATTTGAACAGATTTTTTTTTCTCTCATTGAGTTTATTAGTAGATTTTAGGTATACAATACAGTTACATTCATCATTGGGATCTTGTACCTTTACCTGACATATCTTGGTTCTCACTTTTTCCCTTTGTCCCTACCCTCCCTTCACTCACTCCTCACTTCCCTATTTACAAATTGAGCAGATCTTTTAATTTTACTTGTGAATCAACCTGAGTGATTTTCCTGAGAGATTTTCATTCACAAAAAATAATGTGAACAGGCTGGAGATTTAGCTCAGTGGTGCCACTGCCTGCCTCACAAACACAAGGATCCAAATTTGATCCCCAATACAACAATAAATAAATAAAATAAAAAAAGTAAAACAAAACAAACAAACAATAATAATGT